ATACGCAGCCTTTCGCCACACGATAGTGCACGTGAGAAGAAAGCAAACTCAGAACGCCGCTGGTAATACCATGGCGATGTGTAGTGAGCGGGTGATACTGACGCTGGCTGCGCCTCTAGGTCCAACCGTTGCACAAGGTCGTTTATTGATCTTGCACCGGGAGAAGTAGAGATATCGCTCCATGAAAAGACGATACAAACAGCGACACCAAACCGCGACTTGTGATGCCCATTATGTAAACGAGGCATAACTGGGGTCATATCTCCGGCATCTACGTCGTCAACCATGTTCCAGACGCAGCAACGCCAAGCCTTTTTACAGCCTAAACCTATTAAGCCATGTGAAATAACCCTGAATGACACGTCTTCTGCTCCTGAAACTAGCGACAGTGATGCCAAAGTGCTTGCAATGCCAAGGGTGCAAATGTTCAAAACATTCAGAGACGGGACAGTGTCTCTGAATGATAATTTTTGTGCACGCACACAGGGGGCTTACAGATCTGCTAAATCAGAGGAGTCGGTCTAGTGGCTAAGGTACTCGGCTGCTGACCCGCAGGTCGCGGGTTCAAATCCCGGCGGCGGCGGCTGAATTTCCGATGGAGGCAGAAATGTTGTAGGCCCGTGTGCTCAGATTTGGGTGTACGTTAAATAACCCCAGGTGGTCGAAATTTCCGGAGCCCTCCACTACGGCGTCTCTCATAATCATATGGTGATTTGGGACGTTAAACCCCACATATCATCATCATAAACCAGAGGAGTCATCGTGCAGTGATGGAACGTGACGCTGGCTTTGAAGCCCAGAACCTGTTTTCCGAGTGGCTGTCGATTGGCATACAGAATACTCACAAGATATATATATATATATATATATATATATATATATATATATATATAAGGGAAATAAGTGTATACCTAAGGGCTCGTTTTTCCGTGTTTGTGACACAATATTAATGAGATCTAACAGACATTAATGCCAAGGAATGTATAGGGGAAGTTATTAGAATCAATGGAATGTAAATGAGAAAAAAGAAAAGTAGGTGAAAAAATAACCAGCCGTGAGCAGTAATCGAGTCTACAACATTCGAGTAACGCGTTCGATGCTCTAACCACTGAGCTATCACAACGGCCTTCCCTCCATCCACATGTTTGGGTTTATATATGAATTTAGAAGTAGGAGTGTCAGTCAGCGCCATTTATAAGCCAAGCGACGAGTGTGAAACACCCTTTTATGCGCATATTTGGCGTCACGTAGCACGTGAACTTATTACGAGCGGGCAGCTGATTAATAGTCCCTCTTATACAACCTAATGACACCAAGTCTGCCAAGTCTGCCATTTTTTCACCCACTTTTCTTTCTTCTTATTTACATTCCATTGGTTCTAATAACTTCCCCTGTACATTCCTTGGCATTATTGTATGTTAGATCTCATCATATATATATATATATATATATATATATATATATATATATATATATATATATATTATATATATATATATATATATATTATATATATATATATATATATATATATATATATATATATATATAAGGGCTATAGGAAGTATCACGCTGGCTACCAGACTGCCCGGCAGAGGATGTGATGGTATTTTATCTGCTGGTTGCGTCGCAGCACATCGGCATCAGCAAGGCGCACAGCTGCACCATCCATTATATGCGTGGTATTGGGAAAAAAGTCGGTCAAATAAGTCAGTCTGCTTTTCGTTAAATTCACGTGGCATTGCCTCACCGTGAAAAAGAGCATCGTCCCGATGCTGAACAAGTGCACTAGAAACAAACGAAGCAATACGGAAGTGCGTAGTAAGAACAAAGGGATGAAAATTTCAGTCTGCTTATGCTCAAACATGTTTTTGGGGGGCATAGCATGGACTATGTCAGGTCGTGGGCGTCGTTGCTGCGACTGTGTCACTCCATCAGGCACAACTTTGTATAGTAGAAGCCCCAGTTGTAGGGTAATCTTGTATGGTCCAAAATACCGTGGCAAGAGTTTTAGATGCGGAGCATCTTATACTCGCGCCTTGTAGTGCGCCGTCCGCGCCGTCCGCGCCGTCCGCACCGCTTCTCGAACATTCGACAGCTGACGCGCGCGCATGCGCCGTCGCGCCGTCGCCCACTCTTCCACCATCTGTGCATCCCTTCCTCCTCTACACACCGCGCGCGCTTCACTCCTCCACCATCTGTGCACCCTTCCTCCTCTACACACCGCGTTCGACATCTACAATTCTCCTGATTCTCCAGTGGACGCGCATGTGGCGTCGCGCTTCGAGAACATTCAACAGCTGACAGTGCATGCGCCGTCGTGCTGTATATATACTCAAGGTCGGCGCTCGCTCGCTCAGTTGCCGCTCGTCGGTTGGTTTGTACGGCGCGTCGACGTCCAAGGTCGCGGTGAAATGAATTCCAACGAATCCACAAACACAATGATCGACGTCCCTTCGACCAGCGCCGCCCTTTCGCATACGTGTGTACGTGTTCACTCATTTAACACCGCCTCCTACAACCACGTTAACCAATTTAGCCATCGACACAAGTAAGTCGCAATTTAACACCCCATTTCACAACCACGTTAACCAATTTAGCCATCGACCCAAGTAAGTCGCACTTTAACACCCCGTTAACCAATTATATGGTCCGCATCCTCCTCAGTGTTCCCCCGAGGGAAGCTGCGGGCAATTTTTTTAAATTGAACCACTTTGGTGAATTAGTGTCCACACGATAAATCGGTCACTCTTGGTCCCGTCGTCCTTGTTTATAGAGTAAGATGTCCATGTGCTCCTGCTTTATAATACGTATTTGAGCAAGCTGGCGGGCTTCCTCGGTACTGTGAAGGAAGCCAGCGATGCTTGCCAGGGTGCTTCCTTGGCAACATTGCATGACTGGGTGACCGAGGACTAGCTCAAAAAGATTCATCTGCGTTGTCCTCTGTGATGTGGTGTTGTACGCCAACTTGACGTTACAAGAGAACTTCATACGGAGTCTTGTGCCAGAGGCATCTAATCGTGATGTGATACGATGAGCTGACACTGTTGATCGCGTCACTGTACGCCTCCCTGCCGACCAACATGAGCCCTACCACCACTGCCACTGGGGACATAACAAGGTATTAAGCCAAGGTGGAAGCGTCACGCGTGACATCGGCGTCGCCGAGTGAGTGCTGCCTTAAGTTAGCCGTCGAAAAAGAGCACGTTCAGGTTGTTACCTTGACTTACAGCATTTCTGAAATTGTTCTCGATTCTTTTATTGCGTCGAACCCGCAAAGATGCACGGCCGGAAGCCGCTGTGGAATGCTTCGTTTTAATTTCTGTGGCGCTAAATATATACCATGCACAGTACGGGCTCGTTTTCGCCTTCCCCGTCACCCCGTACTTTGGCGCACATACAAATAGGAAATAAATGTGAACGCACTCATTGCCACGGCGTTTCGAAAGCGCGAACAACGTAGGCCGACAAATACCATCTCTGTAACCCCGTTATCGTCAATGAAGGCAGGTAGGTCGGCATCGCACAACGCTTAGTACAGAATGTCGGCCTAGTTGCCAACAAAACGAAGGAATCAGTGGGCTGCCCGACGCCAGCGCGCACCGTTGTCGCAGACGATGCAGTTCAACACCCCGCTCCTCAAGCACATGCGCATGCGCGAGCTTCCTCCGGCGCGCAACTGCAGCGTTGGCCGCACCGTGATGCCATTCGCTCCGAGTTTTTCTCCATGGTACACATGGCCTCTATGGCCTATAGCAAGCGGAGCCACGAAAGGCCGGGGGTTGGCGAGGCTGCTGGATGATTACCGGTTTGAGTGTACTGGTGGCCTCCATAGGTGAAGGGTGGTTCATACACTGAGTAGTGGCTCGGAGCACTCCCAGTTCAGCTGGCAGTCCTTGTAGCCGACAGCTACGGTGGGTTTGTTCTTTCTTGTCTGCTGTGGTGGCTTATTGCGTGTCGGCTGCTTGGGAGGCACTTGGGCTGCTGTCACGGTGCGATAGGGGTGTGCTAAACACCATCTCCACCAAATGCGACGGAGATGACGGTACATTGGGCGGTGCACAGACTGGTAGAGAGGCAGACCACGAGCCCAATGTAATAAAAGTGATTTTTTGGCTGACTTGCGCCCGAAAGCAAGCTAACACGCAACACTCGGTCACAGCGAGCAAAATAGGATAGCGGGCTCGAACGGTGGCTACCAGAGTGCCGAGGGGTGGATGTGGTGGTACCTTATGTTCGTCGCGTCGCATCGTGCTCACATTGAAACGGCGCACGGCTACAATCGATCACATGCAATAGGAACTCGATAAAATATCGCTGTCTGCTGCTCTGCTCTTTTTTATCTAAATGCACGTGGACACACACACACACACACACACACACACACACACACACACACACACACACACACACACACACACACACACACACACACACACACCACACACACACACACACACACACACACACACACACACACATATATATATATATATATATTACCATATCACTATGAGAAGCACCGTAGTAGAGCACTCCCAATGTTTTGACCACGTGGTGTGCTTTAACGTGCCCTGATATCCTACAGCACATGAAGCTTTACCATTTCGACTCGACCGATACGTAACCACCCCCACCGGGAATGAACCTGCGACATTCGGGTCTGCAGCCATCTACCGTGGCCACTGATCCATTTAGGACGATCGATATTTTTTAAATATTTTTGTAGTGATTCGTCTAAAGGTTTGTGCGTAGTTTTTGCTGCACGGTTTGATGACATCAATAAAACTGAATGCCATTGCACTTGTACTTCTCCCCTCCTTCATTCTGAAATAGAATAAAAAGTTTCACTTTAAGTTCTGGAACGTATGTGAGAGATTCTTGTTGGTTTTGCCTACCACGCAATGGTATGAAGATTTTATTTACGCAATGGTGTCCTAATTAGGCTTTATACGTACTAAAAAACTTCGCGTTTAGCTGGAACACGCTGGATGAAGTAATCACTGGCGATTGACTTATTTTATTGTTGAACAGAGCTTCAAGGCGCAGTGTCTAGCACTGTTCTTCAAAATAAAAATACAGGTAAATTCCTGATGTGAGTAAAACCTTCGCTAGTTCTTTCGTGTAAGTGTTTTCCCAATCTCGAGTAGCAGCTCAAGATAGCCCTCAATCTTGCGATCTGTTGGACCAGGGGACGGCAGCTTTGGCAGAGCCTTGCAGGACTGCGATCCCCTTTGGTAATTTCCGCACACGAGGCTCAACATCTCTCCGAACACCTGTTCCAGTAGGCTAACTGTGAACTCCTTGCCACCATCCTCTTCGCAGGGTGTCAATACCGGGTCCAGACAGTCGATCAAGTCAGCATACGAACTGCCGAAAGATGACAGGCAGAGGCATCATTCCATCAATTATAAGACTTTCAACTGAACTCTTCGCACCCTACTTGGCACCCAGGGCGTGCAAGCTTACAAATTTCTTTATTTCAAGGAAGACCAAGAATGCTTGAATTGGCGGTTAAAATTTTCGGCGTTCCACTCAGATGATTGTACACGTTTTCCGTAACGCCTAAGCAAAAATATTTAGATATTTGTGAGAATATTTTGAGCTAAATATGACGAATTGTTAACGTTTTCCCTCTATTACGTCATCATTCACTGGCTTTGCCACATTTTTTGGTTGTCCTTAACGCATTGTTGTGTACAAGAAAAAATTGTATGTCATCTCGACATGATTCCTGAAAGTAGGGAGGAACGATTGGAAAAAGAAAGACAGGGATGTTAACCAGTATAGGAATACTGTTATGCTACTCTACACAACAAAAATATGCCCAAATATTCCCGCTTGGTGTGCGTTGAGGCATGTTGACGTTAAAGATTTGGAACTTTTGTAATAATAGTCTTCATTCTACCATTTGACTTGCCTTATTCAACCCTCTTGTTTTTGTGTTTGTTGTTCAAAGGTTCTCAATGTGGAAAACCGGGTCAATTGGCTCAACTTTCTTCGCACATATTTTAAAAACAGACAGGTCTTCTTACGACCCCGTGAGAAGGTAAGTACTATGACATTGGCTAATCTTCAAGATCAAATGCATGAACAGAGTCATTTTCTGAGTTCGTAACGGGAGTTGTTGTAAAATGTTACATGCATTAGAGGCAAGAACACATGGCGGAAAAATGCTTGTCATTGTACCATTTTTGCCTTCCTCATTATTTGTAAACTTCAGAGTCACACTCACTTGCAATCAACTTTCATCCCCGAAGAGCTTGAAAGACATGTGAAACTGATAAAGAACACCTCATAGGTCACTTCTTTCCTCTGTCAACCTGGCCATATGCTATGATAAACCAGAATTGACTAGATCACCATGCCATAGCACTTGTAAACCAGGAAAGATTGGACTAACCAACATGCGTAGTGGACGACATCGTTGGCCGGTGCCTTCACTATAGCCTTCTGCATGTTCGTTCGAAGTATTGTGAAGCAGGCGTTGATTTTTCTCCCCACGGAGTTCAGGCAGCCAACAAAATTCTGGTAGGCTGGATAGAAAAAAGAATACGAGACCGGATGACCATGCGATTCTAAAAGGTTAAAACAGGAACTATGTCATGAATCTAAAATAAAAAAAGGTCCAAATGGCGTAGGGCGTTATGTCACAAGCAAAACAAAAAAATATCTCTCAGAACGCGTGCTACTATTTTCGTGAACTTTGTCGGTTGCCTCAAGTCGATGGTGCATTCTGGCATTTACCGATGAAATGATACGTGAGCAAGGGATATATTTTACCATGAAGAACGCGCTTGTGTGGTGTTTGAAGACACTTTATTCTCCTTCAATGCGCGAGCTTAGCCTAAGAAGTAGAACGTGCTGGGTTAATTAAAGACTATTTTAGTTGTAATTTCTAGTTGTAACTCTTTAGACACCCAGGCACCCTTGAGCACAAGTTTACGTGTGAGATATTTTTTCTGCATTCTATTTATCTTCATTATCTATACTGAATTCAATCTGTATCATTGCGCCGAAAAAAAAACGTGGTCTTAATAAAACGTTCCTCTTACACTAAAGTATTTAAGTTATCACAAAACAGTGATTGTAAAGCCATGGCATGGATTACTGGTGACATTTTTTAAATGTCAAATGATTATGTGTGTGCTTTGTTACGTGTTATTTCTGCCACTTTCCACTCTTTTCTCAGCGTCCTTCAATGTCCCTCTTCGCATTCCTCTGTGTAAGGCAGCAAATTGGCTTTCCTGGACTGAAAAACTCCCCTGCCTTTCCTTCTCTACCAATACTTCTCTTCTAAAGGGGCAAAACAAAATGGCACTTCGTCTTTTATATTCGCCGAAAAAAACACTATTCGACTTCATTACCACAAATATAGCAAAAAAAAAAAGAAGTTGTGCGTACTGACGAACCGCACCCATTACGGTGGCGCGATTTCGCACACTTAAAAAAATCAGGCAAAATTTATCTGACCCTGCACTGACGGCTTCTCCAGAGTACAAACACTTGTTATTTCCCTGGCGCAGTGAACTGACTAAATCAAGGATGATGGAAGTTGTCATCACGAAATTTCGTTGCCGCGTTACCTCCCTCAATTTTTACTTGCATAGATCAGGCATATTGAATTCCCCTATGTGCATTTACTGTAATCAAGAGGAAACGATCAGTCATTTTTTATTACATTGTCGCCGTTTCGATTTATTCAGGCAAAGCATACTAGCACCACCTCTTCAAAGACTGGGCTTGCAACTATCACAGCCTGATCTTCTTTCATTTAGAGCCTCTACACTGGGTTTCAGCCACAGGGATGTTTTATTCGCCGTTCAAGAATACATCACTGCGACTAAACGATTTTCTTGCTAAATTGCTGTCTCAAAATTTTTCTTATTTTTTTTTCTGCAAACTTGATATCGGTATTTCAAATCAAAATTAAGTTACAAAAAAAATTGTAGGAATGACACAATGCTGAAAGTTTAGGGCAAATTCACCTTAAAATCGGCCAATCCCCTTCTTTGGGTACGAGCCATTTCTACAGGGAAACAACAACAACAACAACCCGACAAATATGAACCGCCTTCCACTACCATGCTTTCTAATTTGCTTATAAAATTTTTGCGCTAATATTATTATTTACACTTCCAGATGAACTAGCCTAAAGGAATCTTTTCGCCCAAAAGCAAACTTGTTCTTATTTTCGCATTGCCGCGATTGTTACTGAAGCCAGTAAGCTCTCGGTGAATATACAAACTCTACAATGCAACGTAGTTTGTTTTTTGAAGGCGGACACTCCTGAAATGATAATTTTGCCAACGTTTGTAGTCGACTGAGTAAAGTGTCATCTAATTCAGTGTAAGCGTGCTTTCGCACGCTCTTGCTTATACTGGCATTAAGACACGAAATCGCCTTATTCACATATTATTCTTAATCATGGCAGTGTACTGTTCACAGCACATAAAATACATGTTCATATACGTTACGTGCGTCTATTTATTTAATGAGAACGTTAGTGTGGTTTGGCAGGGGCATGTCGTCCTTTGAGTCATCGTTAACTCAAAACGCTCTGTTGGGGAATTCCTCGAGCCGAGCCATGCACTGAGAGACGAATTTATCGCAAGAGCGTTGGCATAGACCTCTCGCTGTGCCGTGCAGCTTTTCAAAACACAGATTTCTCTAAAGTGATTGCAAAGGTCAATGTCCCCATAAACTGTAATGAAGACCACAAAAACTAAATTAGCTTTTGTGGAACCACGAAAACACTTCAAGAAATGCGTCTTGTTTCCTCTACGTGGGCCTTCTTCGTCTAGCCATGCGTGATTGATGACAATTGTTATACAATGTAGAAAAAGGTGTCAAAAAGATAGGTTTTTCTCGTTCTTTCGTGATGTTTTACATTTCATCAAAAATAAAATGACCAATGTTTATAGATATTATGTATGCGTGTACCTATGCCCTGGGCATTCTCGTGGAGGAATACTTGTGTTAAAATTTGCATTATACAATAACAGTATTAAAAGTAATATAGATCACATTACTGTTTAATTGCCACCAATGTAAGCACAAGAGAAAAGAAAGAAAAAAAGAGCCGCAGCCCACACAGACATTCCTAAGGAGCCCCTAAACAGTCTCTACAAGTACAACAAGCGCGTTATTTTCTTCTGGTGTTTCCCAGCTTTGTGGCGCAATCCGTCACGTCAGCATTTTCGATTCTTGATGTCATGATGACGTAAGTTCTTCATTAGTGGATGTAAAAGAGACATCTGTTGTGAGTTTTCACCTACCATGCTTTGTATAGTCACTCTTACTTTCCGCGCCTGAATATATCGCACGATATAATCTGATTTCACTTCTCTTTCTCCATTGGCGACTGCGCAATCGGAGACAGCAGCGTGTAGTCGAAAAGCGCAAAATATTTACTGGACAAACGCTCAGTTTCTCAGATTTCACATCCTTTATGAGTAAATAAGTGGCAAGGAAATGATCATATTTGTAAGAAGGGTATAGTGAAGGCGGAAAACAGATGTCTGTCTCGCCTTCAAACTCGGCATCATTTAGGAGCATATAGGCCAGCAGTCTAATAAAGACAACTATGACGAACAGTGAGGACTGAATGCACTCAACCGTAGTTGCATGGATGTACTATTGAGAATTCATAGCATCCAAAGTTATAGCGTGTCTAAGACAAAGCGAAAAAAAAAAGGCATAACACTGATATACAGCGCTAACTGTTCAGGTGACCATTAAGCATGAAATGCAGCTATGAGAGTTTTGTCAATAGCTACCGCTTTCTATCGCAAGTGGCGGATCATGTAGGTGCTTCGCTTTCAATGGAAGTCGCATATTATGAACATTCTGAAATAGCTCGGAGGACTGTCTTTTTTAGTCAAAGTGAATGGTACATAGAGGGTTCAGCTTAAATTGAGGACGACGCAGCGAGCAATGGAAAGGAAAATTGCCATATAGGTGTAACCTTAAGAGACAAGAAAAAAGCAGAGTTGATTATGGAACAAACTGGTGTTAGGATATCATAGTTGAAATCAAGAAGAGATAATGTACATGGGCTGGGCATGTAGCACGTAGACAGGATAACCGCTGGTCATTAAGGGTAACTCACTGGATTCCTTGATAAGGCAAGTGGTTTAGGGTGAGACAGAAGGTTAGGTGGACAGATGAGATTCAGAAGTTTGTGGATATGAATTGGCAGCAGTGAGCACAGGACCGAGTTGACTGGCGGAACATGGGCGAGGCCTCTGTCCTGCAGTGGACGTAGTAAGGCTGATGATGAATGGTATATACCCGTCCACACAAACACGGCATACCTGCACATTCTATGCGTGCGATAGAGCAGACTATTCTCAGAAGGGCCCGTATTAACATACTTACCATCGTACTGCTTCGAACCGTTGATGCAGATGGCATCTACATTGTCCTGGAAAGCTTCTAGGGCCAGAAGCACCGCAGCCCTAGTCACGCCGTGTGCGCACTCCCGCGTGTAGGTCATACTGCAGTCGAGCTGCTGCTTGTAAGTCCTTAAGTAGATAAAAAAAGGAAACATGTATGATGGCTCTCACTGTTGCGATGTTTCTCGCGACTCCCTTATCACATTTATGTTATTGTTTTGTATGTTTATAGCATTTTCGAAGACGCTTTAACCCGAGAATATTCACTGTGTACCTCATATTCCTTCGGTTAAACTATTTATCTGGAGTGAGGATATGCCATTTCCAGGTAAGTGCCGAACAGGCATTGACGACTCGTTATTGTCTAGTGCAGTAACATTCTTTTTCTCACAATAGACGTCTACTGCATTGTAAACTTTAACAAACTTTTTCTAATCACAACGACGGCGAAATAACAGGGTAAGCTTCAACCTATAGTGTGTTTATTCCCCAAACTTCCCATAATCTGCGGTGCATATGAATCTTTCTCATGGGAGTATATAATTTCGTATATATATTTTGGTGAGCATCTTTACACTTTATTAAAACTACGCTTTTACGAAGAAACTTAGTATAGACACGAGACCGAAACTCGCATGTTGTAAAAAAAAAAAAAACAGACGTGTATGAGCCCCACAGAATTTTGCTCAAATCACCGTATACTCACCGCTGTCCCACTAAAAATGAAAAAAAAAACAACAACAACAGATAAGCTGCAATTACACGCTAAGTTTCCTTTAGAGACATAGCGTATGTTTGACACAAATACGTTAATGAACCTTTGGGACTTATCTAGCGATAGAAATAGTGGCGCTTCACGTATCAGCTTCACTGGGTAATCATCAGTACGTATCGCTTAAGGGGTGAGTGGTTAATTTAAAAATTGTTCACATGGTCAAACTTCAGGTAGAGCGTCCAACCAGATACGGGCAATTTGTATGCCCCAAAAAGTACAAATGTACAAAACTTGCGCAGAGGCGTTAATTCGCCCACAAATTTTCTTAAGCCTAATATACACCACGAGGCTATAGCGCAACAGAAAAAGTTCATGACTGATCGACATCCCGCAAAGCTTTTACAAGAGTTTTGTAGCAAAGACATCGATCAACAAATATTTAAAAGTTAAAGCGCTGATATTTGCGGTGACCATATGACATTTCGCTCCCGCACAGCTACTGTATACGCTTGCGGTGTCTAGCTGGCAGCCGACAAAAAGTTTAGGCAGCTTGCACTTGTGGGTAAAAACTGCACTAACAGCGGAACTCAGGGCCACCTATTAACGACTCAGTCGGGGCACTAAAAAACCGCCATGCATGTGCGCAATGCGCAGCACAATGAAAAGTGAAAGCTAGAAGAGCGGCCTTTCAGAGCCATTTTTAAGCACTCTGTGGGTAACTATTACAAGCGCACTTGCAAGGTAACAACTTCGCTATCAATTTTCATAACTTTTGTGTAGTTGGGAGGCATTCATTAGGACATCCTTAGTTCTTCGTCATACACACTCGCAAAGAACTTAGTAGAATTTTTAAACGTGAAGCATTCCTTGGTCACACGATGTCAGGCGTCGTGCGTCGGTGGTACCCGCTACACACTCGCGAAGAACTTTGTAGAATTTTTAAACGTTGAGAATTCCTTATTCACACGATGTCACGCGTCGTGCGTCGGTGGTACCCACTACACACTCGCGAAAAGCTTCGTAGAATTTTTAAACGTGGAGCATTCCTTATTCACCCGATGTCACACGTCGTGCGTTGGTGGTACCCGCTACACACTCGCAAAGAACTTTGTAGAATTTTTAAACGTGGAGCATTCCTTAGTCACACGATGTCACACATAGGGCGTTGGGGGTACCCGCTACACACTCGCAAGGAACTTTGTAGATCTTTTAGGCGTGAAGCATTCCCTAGTCACACAATGTGACGCGTTGTGAGTCGGTGGCGATGTCCACACCACCCCTCCCCTCATTTTCGGTTAATTTTGGCTAATTTTGGGTGAAAAACATCAGCATCAGAGGTCAGTCACTACAACTGAAAAAAAAAGGCCTGTATAGTCTTGAACACGCAAGGCTTGTGCGTAATTGTGAGCATTGTCTGAGACAACGCAATCAATGACACACGAACGAGGACGACCAAGTCCTTGCTTGCAGAAGAGTTTGTTGTGCGATTGCTAAGCTGAATATACAGACAGAGAAACTTAAAAGTAGTTACAGAGTGACAACGGAAGCAAAGATACAAGAATAGAAAAGAGCACTGTCATCTTTTTTTTATTCTTGTATCTTTGCTTCCGTTGTTACACTGTAACTACTTTTAAGTTGCGCTCTTCATATATTCAGTTATGTCCTACCAACTTGCCCAAGTCTGCACGCTCCATATTGGCAAGCGTACAACTATACTACAGACTTGAAGCCATTTTAAATTGTCCACATTTATAATTGTGCACTTACTCGCACTGCTTCGTGAACAGTGACCCCGTGTGCTCCAGGTGTGGCCCATGTCCGTAAGGAACATAGTCCTCGCCGCAAGCGCGTAGGCTCTGTATGTTACAGTCGAGTTTTTCCTGGGACTGGCCGAGATCTGCGGAATATAGACCAATTTAACTGGGATATACAGCAGCTGTAAATAGGTCACATTGGTTTCACATTTGTATCTTAAACACTGTTCTATAACTTATTTTGAAATTACGCGTATTCGGCGAAACATTTTAGCCTTAGCTTGCCTAATATTTCTACTGAGTGTTTTTGCTTTTCTTACTAATTTGTACAAGAGCACACAATTTCAGGTTGAAGTTTAGGAATTACTTCTTTTTAAAAGGAGGTGTACCTTTTCTAAACTCTTGAACAGTGTGGCTTCGGAATGACACACGCTAGTTTAACATGAAATAAATGTGGCAGATATTTCTAACTAAAATATCGCACTCTTATATTGGTCTCCGAAAAAAAAGAACACATTATCATCAAAGGATACGTATCTTAAGAAAGGCACTACAATTGACCTTTTTTCACAATTAGAGCTAAGTAAGTTTTTTTTTGTGTTTGTGCGACATTGGAGGAGACTTAAGCTTAACCTATCGAAATTTCAACGTTGCTGTTCGAATAGTTTTTCGCTAAAAGTACGGCTATTCTCAGTAATTAAATAAATACTGACCATGACAAACGCAACAAATATGCTTTTGAAGACACACATTGATTGTGTCCCCAAGAGCTGAAACGCAATCAGTCTAGCCCAACTTGTTATGAGAAATACGTAGACGTGGACGCAATGACGAAAAACGACATGTAAGCAGCCCCTCGTAGGCGTTGTGAGGCGCGACTTATAGCACCAATTTTAACCACCTTCGAGCGGTCCTACGCGTTCGCCAATACCCCATTTGGCACGAAGTGTCCATGTTACTTCTTTGTAAGGAATTTGAAAAAAACAAACAGCGCTTAGGTGAATGTACCCTTTTAGAGCCCTTTATCGGGACATTTATATTCGGATAATCATGGCGGCAACATCAGCACCAACGACACATACTACCGCGAACCTGCAAACGCCTTGTATCACATTGTGCGCGGATGCTGAAACAGTCCAACTATCCCGCCCATAGACAAATAGTGTGCAATAAAATCCGGATTACCATCGGGAGGTGTCAGTGATGTCACTAAGACCTGAGGACTAGCTCCGGCTAGTGCACTGGACTCGGGCGTCTGTCACATGTCATGGATACCCGGAGTAAAAAAGTTATACCATGCCCCTCCCCCCCCCCTCTTTTGGCAATAATAATGAGCACCTAGTCATAAAATCAACCTAATTCCTCTCTGTCTCTCTGATGACAAAAAAAAAAAGAAACGTGGGTATCAGCATGTGGAGGGAACGTGTTGTTTTGTAATTTTCGTTATTGAACAAGTTACGAAACAACGCTAAATATATGTAAAATGTTGGACCCGCACAGACATGTGTTGAACCGTGGCGAATATTTTATATAACCAGTTTAGATTTGCGCAACGATGCCAACAGCAAGACGAATCACGAGAAGAGGCTATGTAATGCGTGTGCTCGCAAGGATGGTAGCCCTGCACATGACTACATAAATGAACTTCAGTGGATTTCACCCAACTACAACTGAAGTTAACTCGACGAGACGGCTGTCATAGGAGTGAATACCTATAGTTTATGAAAGTGAATAGTCAGTACTGCAACTACAGTTGACCTTTCAACAACTTTGCAACCAAATAGTGTATTTCCCCAAAGCAGTATCGAGGCGCGGCGTGGCTCTGTCGTAGAATACATGATTGCCGCCACGCAGAAGGTTTGGGTTCAATTCCTACTGGTAAGCTCATGTTCGTCGGTTAAATGCTGCCAACGTCAGTTTTTCTTAGTGCTCCCGCATTGAAAATAACGACGTCTATTGTCGTCGATCCTTGCTATATATAAGTTGTCAATCACGCCTAGCGCGTACCCGCATGATAGTGGCACATATCCACCCGTGGGTATGTGCCACTGTCGGGCGAAAAAGGACGACGTGCGCGAGGTGATTGCGACACCAATCATGTCAGGACCAGCGAGTCACACTTGTCGAACGGTCTTACCCTATCATACTAATTTTGGCTTCTCCCGAGATAATGGGGCGATGACCAGAGCACCCAAATATAGGCGGCCAGCTAGCTAGCTAGCTAGCTAGCTAGCTAGATAGATAGATAGATAGATAGATAGATAGATAGATAGATAGATAGATAGATAGATAGATAGATAGATAGATAGACATAACAGACAGACAGACATAACATACAGACAGACAGATAAATAGATAGATAGATAGATAGATAGAACAGACAGACAGATAGATAGAGAGATAGATAGATAGATAGATAGATAGATAGATAGATAGATAGATAGACATAACAGACAGACAGACAGACATAACAGACAAACAGACAGACAGATAAATAGATAGATAGATAGATAGATATAACAGACAGACAGATAGATAGATAGATAGATAGATAGATAGATAGATAGATAGATAGATAGATAGATAGATAGATAGATAGATAGATAGATAGATAGATAGATAGATAGATAGATAGATAGATAGATAGATAGTGTGTGCCGGTTCACGATGACGATAATTTTTATGTACCGAACAAAGCAGCTCTCGACCAAAACAGTTCCACCGTAAATGAAGTGATGGGGGGAGCGGGCACGGCGAAAGAGATAAAAGCAGTCACACACACGTGCATCATTACGCTTCGGTAGCTGCTGCGTCAATCAAAACGAAAGCGTCACCGAAATAAGAGAAATGGTCATTAACACCATTGAGAGAGAGGGAGCTATTCTAATATGAGCGCATGTGTTCATCCGTGAAAGGTGACCGTTCAAGCATGGTAGGCTATGCGGAGCGACTGCTATCTCTGATGGCTACTAGCTTAACAATACACGATGTATGTGGGCATCGTGCTCGTTTGAGTCAAGGATTAATGACTATGTTTGCATGAACTCTGCTTCAAACAAGCAAACAAACAAACAAAAAAACGAGCCCTCTGAAATTTTGCTCCTTCATTTAATGATTAGTGATGCGTGTTAAAGCGAGAACTCTTAAGTCATCGAACGTGGTATTGCATTATTTGTCTCAATTTTCATTTGCCTTAAAAAAAAAGCTTGTGAAAGGAGGTACACTCACAACTAATAAATTGTGACAAACGGTCGAATTTATTTTCACTACCATAGATACAAAGGCTGCCAAGCACATGTCCTGCCCCAGTTGTGTATAGACTGCACGCCTCCTGTTTGATCTATTCATCCTTTCTAAATGAATGAGAACGTCAACTAGAGGGGGAAGATCAGTCCACCATTCAAGAGGACAAGTCAATTTTTTTCTTCGCTGCCGAATCATACTTCAGGTATTGAAAGGTTCTTTAGATAAGAAAATTGACAAGAAGTTAGGTGCATCGGAACCCCTTTGTACCTTCGGAGTCAAGGTGTGGCCAAACTAGGATGTTTTATCATGCTTTTGAAAAACACTATGTGAACGGATCTTCCGCGGTAGCCTCTTTTTGAAAACTGCCCTGCTGCACCTTTCAACAACAAGAAAGGTGGCAGGGGAGATCATGTGTTGCACAGTGACGACGCATTTCATAATGCATTAACGAGTCTTCACGTCTTAACAAACACAAAGTGCCCAAGCGCTGAAATAAAGAATAATCGGGAAGAACATTTACTGGATTCTTGGGTATTGTCGGAAAAATAGGCATTTGTTCAGGTTAGCGCTTTTACTAGCGAATATTCGTTTACAAATAATGAAAACGCAATGTTCGCAAACATATAACGTGGGAGTGAATTGAAGAGGTACTTCGAAAATGCTTACCGATTATAGATGCAGCGAGCACCGCCACACCAAGGAGTTTGTTTATAGCCATGTTCGCCGCTCCTTCAACAAAACAGATGCCGCAGAGTCGGTTTATAGATGCCTTAACTTGGTAGTATCCAATCACAGTTCACCAAAAAGAATGTAAAAATGTGATGCCACCTTGTGAGCCAACGCACTCGGCGTTGACTGAAGCCCTTTCCTTAGCCATTCATTGACCCAGGAATTTGTATTCAGCAACACGACTTCAGTGTAAGCTCTATGAGACGAAAAAAGTTTAACATAAACGTGAAAAGCTCGTGCAGCGCCAAGGCAAACTACTTTCTAATGAAAATCAACTCCTGTAAGTGAAGCAAAGAAAAGAACTGGAAAATAATGGCCGTCCGCACTTCGAAAACAGTTGCAAAACACTCACTGAAACGTAAGCTTGAGGAGAGTGTTCGCAAACGGCTTTCCTGTTATGAGAAAAGCTAACACAGAGCGTAAGAGAAGGACGAACAAAAATAGAGAAGGCAGGAAGGCTAACCAGGCACATGCCCGGTTTGCTACCCTGCGCTTTGTATAGGGAAAGGGAAAGAGTAACTGACGATGTATCAACGCGAGTGACTGCCGTTTTCAGCCATTACAATACTAATCGGCACTTTAACGCGTTGAAATATGGAAGTCATGGCACGTTGCTCACGAGTCATTTCATTTATTGACACTGAATAGCTCTATAAATGGCTGACTCTATCATGCTACCTTGCGCAAGACAACCACTGTCAATCATTTTTTAAATGCGAAGCATCTCTTAGCGAACTTCGACGACTTTGAGCGTATCTATCTATCTATATATCTAGTCGCGTATGACCTTTAGCTCTCCTGGCCGTTTCAGTAAAGGTATCAATACCAAATTTGGTATGGCATAAGATGACTCTCCGAATAACAGATTTGACTAGTCATAACATGAAAATTATGACATGTATGTCATGAATGTCATAATTTATGTCATAGTCCTGTAGTTCTTGAGGTGGTTCCGTTCGCATAGCATGCTGCAAAACTGGTATGATATTGCATGATTGCATGGCGAACACAAGTGAGAGACCCTAACATGAAAATCAAGACATGCGTGTCATGTAACAGCATGACTACATGCCACACTCATAATGCGCTAGCAGCCGTTTCGCTACCTTCACATCTACCAAACTCGGTATTACGTGGCGCGAACGGACGACGTAGGTAAATGACAGATTCAAACATGATAATCACGACATACTTATCATGTAACAATATGACTACACGCCACACTAATGATGTGCTCGCAGCCGTTTCGATAGCTTCACATATGCCAAATTTGGTGATACGTGACGCCAATCAATCATAAAAGCATGTGAGTGGTGCAAACCTGATAATCATGAGATGCGTCTTATGTGAGAACATGACTGCATGCCACAGTCAAGGTGCCAATACATTTCGACTTGACGCGGTGCGCTTGCTCACCAGCATTCATTTCATCGCGTCAGGGTGGTCCTGTCATATACTGGCCGGCGTGTCGTGCTGCGTTGCTTTGACGCATATGCGCTTCAGCGCGTCCGGCGTCCCTCCGTCACGAAAATAGGGAGACGCAATGTTACCTGGGTAACGCGTCGGCGCGAAATGCAGCATGTCGCATTTCGCGTTGGTTGCCGGCGGGCCGTGGTGACGGACGCTGGTAGCGCCTGGCGTCAGACTATAGAGTGCTCGCGTTTTGCTAACCTAGTGTCACTGTGCCCAGCGTGCGCGCGCGCCAACGCTACATTGCAGTGCATTGGGCCCTTTGAGATGCACTCGCGGTCACTTTGCTATCAAATTTGGTGTTATGCGACGTCAATGAATGACAAAATATATTACTGGTGCAAACATGATAATCCTGACACGCGTGTCATGTAAGAACATGACAGCATACCACGCTGATAGCGTGCTCGCGGCCGTTTCGCTAGCTCCACGTATAATAAATTTGTTATCACGTGACGTGAAAAGATGACGAAAGTAAACGACACATCCACACATGATAATAATGACATGGAAGTCATGTACGGCATCGTTTACCTCCACCTCATAACGTTGGGCTGAATTTAAAGTGACATATCACCATTTCTCATTCGTGCTTCGCATATCATGGATTTCCACTGTGCGTGGGGTCTGCCTTTTTTTTCTATTGTACACAGCTGGCTGTAAATGCCTGCGTACCTATTATGCATGGGCTTCCCTTGAAAAGCTAACGACTGAACAAATTGAGACATATTTGTGGTTTGTCCATCCAATCGTGCTTGGCCATGGTGGTGGTGGTAAAAAACATTTATTTCAGAAAAAGTCTACTAGAGAGTGCCGACGTGGCCCATTGGCATGCTAGAGTGGCAAGACCCTATTCCGGGACGCCAATGGAGCTGGAAGCTGCCCGTGGAGCTGGAAGCTACCAAGGAGCGTTGTGCAGCCAAGGTAGAGCAGCCGAGCAGGTGCTCCTCCCAAGCCTCTCTAGTTGGGATAGGAAAAGGGGATGCGAAAGGGACAGGATTAACTGGGGACGATGCTACGACGTGATATGCGTCGGCAAGGACATGAAAGATTGAGCACGTGCCATTGATTTCCGGCAAAAAGTGCCTGGCGACCGCCGGACTGATAAAGGTGTTCGTCTGCAGGCAGCGTAGCAGTCGTTCGTCCGCTTTCTCCAAACCGCGTGCGGGGTCCGGGTAGAGGCGGCACGAAGTTCGGTAATAAGCCAAAATTTCGCGAAAGCGCGTCAGGTTGGTATTGCCAGATTCCGTCTCGGGACATGGAGGGGCAACGGCCCTGGTAGGAGAAGCGCGGGCAGCGGCATTTGCCGCCTCGTTGCCGGGCAGGCCCGAGTGGCCTGGGGTCCAGACTATACGAATGGAATGCGGGTTAAAGCGCCAAGAGGCTGCCTGTAGCAGGCTAGCCGCCAGCGGGGCAATGGAACCCTGAAGGTACTGAGAACAGGCCGAGCGCGAGTCCGTGAGGATGGTGCGTGAGGCAGGGTGAGAGGCGGCCAAAGCTATGGCAACCTCTTCAGCGTGCGTTACTGTGTCTGCTCGAAAGGAGAGGCCATCGACGTAATTGCCCTGTGTAATCACGGCAGCCGTGAAGTGACCCGAGGGGGAGGGACCCGAGACGTCCACGTAGAAAACACCAGGACGATCGGAGTGTCGCGTATGAAGGGCCGCGGCGCGTGCTAGTCTACGGCCAGGATGGAGGTCGGGGTTCATATTATGGGGTAGAGGTTCCACCCATAGCTTTTGACGTCAGAGCTCTGGTACCGGCTGCAGAAGGTCTTGGTCAGATATCGGGTTAAGGCCAAGTCTGTGTAGAAGACGGCGCCCTGAAGGCGTCTGTGACAGTCGATTGATTTGGTTAACGCGATGAGCTTCGTGCATCTCTGCAAAGGTGTTGTGTACCCCCAGAGCCGCGAATCGGCTGTTGTAAGTTGCAATAGGTAGGTCCAGAGCGCGTTTGTATACTGAACGAAGAAGGACGTACAGCTGGTGCTCGTGTCGACGACGCAGGCTAAGGTAAGGCAAGTCGTAGAGGACGCGACTGGTCACAAACGCGTGGGCCAATCTGAGGGACTGAGACCCGTGGAGGCCACCGCGCTTGGTAGAAACTCGCCGTATCATGCGGCTCACTTGTTCGCTGGTGCGTCTGAGGCCTTCTATTGTGCCCTTTGGATCCAATGACGATGTGAGGTGAAGGCCAAGAACCCGAATATTTTGCACTGACGGGACGGGCCCGGACGGAAGAAAAATTTTAGGCGGCGGTAGCGGAGAGACTGTAAGAAGAGCCGATTTAGCTGGAGAGCACTCCAGGCTGCATGAACCTGCGTAGGTGTCCACCAGAAGGGCAGCCTTTTTCAGGCGTTCTTCGATTTGCGCTAAGGAACCGGTGTTGGTCCAGATTGTGATATCGTCCGCATATAGTGCGTGTTGTATTCTCTCGACCTCGCTTAGAAGAGAGGGGAGGTTCATCATCGCCAGGTTAAAAAGCAGAGAAGACAGGACTGCCCCTTGAGGTGTACCCCGCGTGCCCAATAAGTACGGGCCGTGTTCGGTAGAATTAAGGCGAATGAAGGCGGTGCGATGTGATAGAAAGGCGCGGATGTAGTTGAAAGTCTTCTGCCCGCAGTTTGTGGTAGACAGGTTAGTGAGTATAGTGCTGTGTTTGACGTTGTTGAACGCCCCGCGGAGATCGAGAGCGAGCACGGCTTTATCGTTATGGCGCATAGTAGTCGGCTCTATGATATCGTGTTGAAGCTGGAGCAGGACGTCCTGCACCGACAGATGCGGGCGAAAGCCAAACATCGTGTCGGCAAAGGTCCTCCTGGCCTCCAAGTAGGCGGAACGGCGTTCGCGAACCATGGTTTTCATGAGTTTGCCTGCGCAAGACGTACGTGAGATGGGTCTCAGTGCCTCAATACTAACGGACTTTGCCGATTTGAGAATGAATGTCACGACCGATGTGGTCCATTCCGTTGGAAGCGGAGAGCCGTCCTATATCGAATTTATAAGGTGGAGTAGCGAGAGGTGTGCTTGGTCGGGAAGATTTGCCAGGAGCGATACTGTGATTCCGTCGCGTCCAGGGGCCGTGCCCCGTCGCATTTTCATGAGTGCAAATCGTAAATCAGAAAGCGTGTAAGGGGCGTCGAGGTCGGTGTTAGGGGCGCCGGAATACGTATATGCTGGGCCTGCGGGATCAATTGTGCGGCATATGTAGCGGTCACAAAGTTCTCGCGCGAGTTCATCCGTAGTGCCCTGAAAGGCATGCAGAACACGGTGGAGCTGGCGTTGCGTTTCTCGCCTGGTGGTGGAGGGATCGAGAAGGCTTCTAAAGAGTCGCCACGCACTCTTAGAGCTCATCTGGTTTGCAGCCTTTGAACAGGTGTCTGCCCAGTTAGCATCGGAAAGTTACGCGGAGTATGCAGCCGCCTCTGCAGTGAGCGCCTCAATGCGAGCGCAAAGTTTCCGATTACGTTTGTTGCGTTTTCAGCGCCTTATGAGCCCGCAGCGAGCGTGCCAAACATGTAGGAGGTGTGG